TAGGCATGTATCAGCCTGTTGTGACCGCCACGTTCTCCAGTTCCCGAATACAAAATTTACCGTCTGTGTTTGAATCTTAATAATACTTAACCACTTCAGTGTTCTGTACCATCAATCTTCTCTTACATGTTGTTGTTAAAGATTCGCTACCTGGAACAAAGTTCCAAGTAGCACGGGCTATGGTGAGCCCGTAGGGGTTCTCTTACAGTTTCTCAAAATTCTCAAATTACCATAGTTATCACCGGAAACTTCCTGCCAGTTTCCATCATTTTACTGCTTATGTGACTGACATTTCTTCCATGTGAATGATTTTTTTATGTACCGTCCTAGATCACTTCCGTATGTATGATTTGTTTAGGTACTGTGCGTATGTGGTACTGGCATAGTGTGTGTGTGTGTGTGTGTATACTCACCTAATTGTACTCACCTAATTGTGCTTGCGGGGGTTGTGTGGGAACCGACCTGTGAGATTTATATTTATTTAATTTATATGAATTTATATTTACGTTAATTTATATACTTCGATAGCAATTTGTATGATGTTAAGTGGACTGTATTTCTGCAATAATCTCAATCTCACAAATCGATCCTCTACACATTAGGGGGGTTTATATTAATTAAATTTATATATATGCAGCCAATCAAACTACAGTATTAGACTACATACATTGAAGAGGTTCCTTATCTTATAGTACAGCAGGTTAGTCCACCAGGTATAACTGGGGTGTAGACACCACATTTTCCCTCTTTGAGGTAGCTTCCATCACCCTGGTAACTGATGCACAAAAGATACTTCCTCGTCTTGACCTGTTAAAAGGGCGCTAGCTGTAAAGCCAGAATCCTATATATGACAGGTATATCAGAGAAACACTGTACATGGAACAGTAAATACCTGGCTTAATTACCTTTAGTTTGAGGCTATCTCGTGCTCTAACCGGTCCACCCTATATAATGACATTAATGGCCATAAATGAAAGATACATGGGTTTCGGAAGAACACTTAACTTGATTTGTTGACAGCGTGTTGATAATGGTACACCTTTGGTTTCCATAACACTACGTCCAAGTAAAATTAACAGGAGCCGAATTTGCTCCCGTGAGCCTCTGGTCTCAGTATAAACAATGGCAATGTCTAACACTCCATACTACTGACGCTACTGGCCGACATTGTCCAGATATAATAGGAGCCAAATTTGCTCCACGCGTCTCGGAGGTGACAATAACAATGGCTGCCCCTCCTTCCTCACTGACGTCTGGCCTACATTGTCCAGATGTCAATAAGTGATAGAAGGGTCACATTTACTCTACTTTAATATTGATAATTAAGTTAATTTATATGAGATGTTTTTATGATGGTAAAGTCCAAAGACTAATGTATTTAAGAATAATTCCCAGCAGAATAGCTGGTGAATTTATAATGGTATGTGGTGATGATATCCCGTTTTCTATAGACGGTAATTCCACTACAAGTTACGTTTTCTATGGGTAACTTGTTGGTAATACAGCAGCAATTATCTGTATGTATGATATATTAAATGGTGTCGGATTTTCCGACAGGTTGAGCTCTGGCTCTTTGGTCCCGCCTCTCAACCGTCAAACAACTGGTGTACAGATTCCTGAGCCTACTGGGCTCTATCATATCTACATTTGAAACTGTGTATGGAGTCAGCCTCCACCACATCACTTCCTAGTGCATTCCATTTACTAACTACTCTGACACTGAAAAAGTTCTTTCTAATGTCTCTGTGGCTCATTTGGGTACTCAGCTTCCACCTGTGTCCCCTTGTTCGCGTCCCTCCAGTATTGAATAGTTCATCCTTGTTTACCCGGTCGATTCCCCTGAGGATTTTGTAGGTTGTGATCATGTCCCCCCTTACTCTTCTGTCTTCCAGTGTCGTAAGGTGCATTTCCTGCAGCCTTTCCTCATAACTCATGCCTCTTAGTTCTGGGACTAGTCTAGTAGCATACCTTTGGACTTTTTCCAGCTTTGTCTTGTGCTTGACAAGGTACGGGCTCCATGCTGGGGCCGCATACTCCAGGATTGGTCTTACATATGTTGTGTACAAGATTCTGAATGATTCCTTACACAGGTTTCTGAACGCCGTTCTGATGTTAGCCAGCCTCGCATATGCCGCAGACGTTATTCTCTTTATGTGGGCTTCAGGAGACAAGTTTGGTGTGATATCAACTCCTAGATCTTTCTCTCTGTCTGTTTCATTAAGTACTTCATCTCCTATTCTGTATCCTGTGTCTGGCCTCCTGTTTCCACTGCCTAGTTTCATTACTTTGCATTTACTCGGGTTGAACTTCAACAGCCATTTGTTGGACCATTCACTAAGTCTATCTAGGTCATCTTGTAGCCTCCTACTATCATCCTCTGTTTCAATCCTCCTTATAATTTTTGCATCGTCGGCAAACATTGAGAGGAACGAATCTGTACCCTCTGGGAGATCATTTACATATACCAGAAACAGTATAGGTCCAAGGAATGACCCCTGCGGGACTCCACTTGTAACGTCTCGCCAATCTGAGACCTCACCCCTCACACAGACTCGTTGTCTCCTGTTGCTTAGGTACTCCTCTATCCACCGGAGTACCTTCCCATTCACTCCAGCCTGCGTCTCCAACTTTCGCACTAGCCTATTGTGTGGCACTGTATCAAAGGCTTTCTGACAGTCCAAAAATATGCAGTTTGCCCACCCTTCTCTTTCTTGCCTTATTTTTGTTGCCTGGTCGTAGAATTCAAGTAACCCTGTGAGGCAGGACCTGCCATCCCTGAAACCATGTTGATGCTGTGTTACAAAGTTCCTTCGCTCCAGATGCTCCACTAGTTTTTTTCGCACAATCTTCTGTGTGTGTGTGTGTGTGTGTGTGTGTGTGTGTGTGTGTGTGTGTGCACGGCCCAGCCTCCTCTTTCGGTAGTACCTGTAGAATGGATGGGGACCATAGTACATATACCGACGTACAACACAATTAGAAAGTAGAAATCGGTACTATTGAATTTGGACAAATCTGAAAACTATTTTCTACGTGTGTTACAGAGACAAACTAAACTAAACTAACCTTCTTAGTCTTAAGACACGTTATCTGAGGCCTAATATAGTACACATGTGTGCTATACTAGGCCAAGGAATATTTAAGTTAGTTTTTTTGCTTCATTTCTTCGGACTCTAAAGTGAATAATACAAAGTTCTACTAATTTCTTAGTACGTCACTGTTTGTACTATGGTACACATAGTTACAAAAGAGTACTATCAAAATATGAGGATGGGTTGGTGTGTGTGTACTCACCTAATTGTACTCACCTAATTGTGCTTGAGGGGGTTGAGCTTTGGCTCTTTGGTCCCGCCTCTCAACTGTCAATCAACTGGTGTACAGATTCCTGAGCCTACTGAGGCTCTATCATATCTACATTTAAAACTGTGTATGGAGTCCGCCTCCACCACATCACTGCCTAATGCATTTCATCTGTTAACTACTCTGACACTGAAAAAGTTCTTTCTAACGCCCCTGTGGCTCATTTGGGTACTCAGTTTCCACCTGTGTCCCCTTGTTCGTGTCCCACTAGTGTTGAATAGTTTATCCTTGTGTACCCTGTCAATTTCCCTGAGGATTTTGTAGGTAGTGATCATGTCTCCCCTTACTCTTCTGTCTTCCAGTGTCGTAAGGTGCATTTCCTGCAGCCTTTCCTCGTAACACATGCCTCATAGTTCTGGGACTAGTCTAGTGGCATACCTCTGAACTTTTTCCAGCTTCGTCTTGTACTTGATAATGTGTGTGTGTGTGTGTGTGTGTGTGTGTGTGTGTGTGTGTGTGTGTGTGTGTGTGTGTGTGTGTGTATAATAGATTATTGCACCTTCACTAGTACTCATATTTTGAAAGGTTCAGTTATTAAAAAGTAATATTTGTTTAACATATATCATTCTGGAGTCTTATTTTTGTGCAAAACTAAATTGAAAACCAATATTTTATGATTAAAATGATTAACATGCCAAAATATAGGAGAGCTCAACTCGTACCGAATAATCCTGGCACAACTAACAGTCAATAAGCAGTTAACACAAGCAGACCACACAACACACACACACACACAGCTCACAATCCCCTGTTACAAAGCTCATCTCTCGATGCTCAAAGCTACGTCTCTAAAGACTATAGAGGTAAATGCTCTATATAGCAGTGTGCTCGAGTCGTCCAGACCGTCAGTGCAATATAACTCAGCTAGGTTTCATCCCATCTTAGTTGATAACCTCTTCAGAAATCCTATTTTAGATGTGTTGACACTCTGGAATGTACTTGAGACTTCCCAAAGATGTGTAAATAGTTACCAAAAGTCAATAATAGACGATAATTGACTGGTGAATGCTGTGAGAGGCTTAGCAACGGGGGAAGACGCCACCTCAGGATTCCTTAGGGCTAGGGTCACCTCCACTAATCTAGTAACAAGTGTGGTTGTGGTGTGGTCAGACCACACAGGGTACACCACCACATCACCACGCTACACTATGGTTGGTTTGGTCGTCGTGCCACTACACTATAGCCACACTACCTGTGGTTGCGATCTAACCAGAGGCCACACTAAGGTAGATTATAACCACAGGGCCACACTAAGGTAGATTATAACCACAGGGCCACACTAAGGTAGATTATAACCACAGGGCTACACTAAGGAAAAATATAACCACAGGGCCACACTAAGGTAGATTATAACCACAGGGCCACACTAAGGAAAAATATAACCACAGGGCCACACTAAGGTAGATTATAACCACAGGGCCACACTAAGGTAGATTATAACCACAGGGCCACACTAAGGTAGGCAGGCCATGCCTCGTGGCCCCACGAACGAGTAATAAGACGCGGGCCACACGAAGCACGACCCACCCCCATGGCCACACACACACACACACACACACACACACACACACACACACACACACACACACACACACACACAAGAAGGGGCGGCCCACAGACGAGGCGCCCACACCACCACTAACCCGGGGGACGTAGTCGTAACTGTAGGGTTCCTGAAGGAGAAAGAATTGGCTTTATTCATATTTGTAACACAGGAGGTTGGTCGTTGATGTCGAGGAGGGGAAGGAGGAGGTGGGGGGAAGAGGAGGGGGGGAAGAAGAGGAGGAGGGGAAGGAAGAGGGGGAATGAATGAAGAGAGGAGGGGGAGGGGAAGGGAAGAAGGAGGAGGAAGGAACCAGGACGACCCGGAGAAGGTCGTGAGAGAAGAGAGTATGATGGTGAGTAAATACTACAGGTGCACATAATTATATGAAGGAAGTACTACAGGTGCACATAATTATATGAAGGAAATACTACAGGTGCACATAATTATATGAAGGAAGTACTACAGGTGCACATAATTATATGAAGGAAGTACTACAGGTGCACATAATTATATGAAGGAAGTACTACAGGTGCACATTATATGAAGGAAATACTACAGGTGCACATAATTATATGAAAGAAATACTACAGGTGCACATAATTATATGAAGGAAATAGATCATACAAATTATTAATATTACGATTATTGCATCATATTTATGCTTATGTATAAAGACCAGAGGTGTGTTTCAGTACATAATGTTCTCCAAAAGCTGCATTACTTTTACGGTGGTGTTGATGAGAGAGGGAAGAAGTGAGTAGGTGTATAATACAAGACTAGAGAGAGAGAGAGAGAGAGAGAGAGAGAGAGAGAGAGAGAGAGAGAGAGAGAGAGAGAGAGAGAGAGAGAGAGAGAGAGAGAGAGAGAGAGAGAGAGAGAGGGAGAGAGAAGACAAAAAGAACTAAGAAAATCAGTTGAAGGCTAAGGGAGGACTGAAATACTCTACTGATATGCACTGGAGTGGGCGGAGGTGGGTGTATCACCCAAAGTATCTATGGGATGAAATATCTAGAGCATCTAGGTCAAACAGTATTTGTGTCATTGGTGACTTTAAGTTTAGTGGAATAAACTGGATTAACCGAACAGGGAATAATGAAGCAGAAGATTTTCTAGTATTAATTGACGATTGCTTTCTAAAGCACACATTAAGGAACCAACGAGGGAAAATAATATTTTAGACTTAGGGTTAACTAACAGAGAAACACAAATTAGTAAAATCGAAATAGGAAGTGAGCTAGGGAACAGTGATCACAAATACATCATATTTAGCATAGAATGGACAAGTTTTGTAGGAGAAAATTCTGTTAAAGTGCCAGATTTTGGAAAAGCTGATTTTAATGGTCTAAGAAATTTTTTGGGTGAAATAGATTGGAAAGTCTTGGGCATGGGGGGTGGGTCGGTCTTGGAGTGAGACGTGAACCCAGCGATGGGTGACGTAAAAAGGGATTTCGATGTGGATTCAATATATAACATATTTAAAAATATTCCAAGCAAAGCACAGGAACGTAGTTTACCGAACAAATTGAATAGATCGAATACTAATGACCCGAAATGGATAACAAAGGATCTAAAGAACCTTATAGGTAGAAAGAGAGTGTGGTACAAAATGATTAGGAAAGGGAAAGTCAGTTTAAAACAAGAACTCGTACAACTGGTTAGAAATGTTAAAAAAAGATAAGGAGAGCAAAAACAAACTATGAAGTTCGCATAGCAGGGCAAGCAAAGACAAGTCCTGAAGGTTCTTTCAGTTATATCGAACAAAGATCAGAGAACGGATAGGTTCATTAAAAACTGGGACAGGTGAAGAGGAGTTACTATATATATGTGTCCCGAAGGTTGACAATTTATATACAAGACAGGCAGACGGGGTGATGTCAGATTCGCTCACTGTTATAAGTATACTCAGCCCAAGACGCAGAACACTGACTGTTCTGACTGCCTGTACATAGTATATGCGAAGTACTTGCAAATTGGCTCCTCCAGAGAGGGAGGTAAGCGACCTGAGGAGCTGCTAGAGCGGGAGAAGTCCTAAACAGACTACAATTAAAAAGCACGATTCTTGACAGTGGAGGAGATCAACCACACCCAAACTACACTTGTTCCCCACCATGGGAGGAGCCTACCTTCAAAATAGCAATAGGTCTTCCGATGAAAAAGGCTGCCTATGATCCAACAATCCTAAGGCGCATCATAGAAGAGCAAATGAGCAGAATTGCAGAAGCAAGAGCCACCCACATCTTCACAGATGGATCGGTTGACACAGAATATAAGAGCGCTGGCGCTGCTCTTTGCACGGCCAACGTACAGGCATATTGGAGACTGGGAGGACTAGTATCATTAACCCAAACTGAGCCCTTTGCCATACAATAGGCATTCGCATATGTGATTACACAAAACACTCAAAATGCAATCATACACACAGACTCAAAAGCTGCACTTCAAATACTAGGACAAAAACAGTGGAAAGACAACGTGGAAATAATTACCACCATTTTGTATCTTGGAGCAGTCGCTAAAGGCAAAGGACTCAACATAACCCTAAACTGTACTTATACTCCCATCCCATGCTGGAATTCCATTAAATGAGAAAGTCGATGAAACTGCTAAATTGGCAACTCGTCATCCAGTGATTCACGAAACAATCCAAGCCAGCAGCCGTCATTACATAAAAAACACCATCACCAAAATACCTCCCCCGCGATAGGAACCACATAGAAAGGACTGACGATATAAAAGCGACCTCAGCACACAGTACATCCTTTCACGACCAAAGATCCCATTCACTCCAAAAAATTAACCTCTTACGGGCTATTCATGCCCGTGCCACCTCTTGGGTGGCTTAATCTTCATCAATCAATCAATCAGACGTAGAGGACAGGGTGGACGACTTAGGTGACGGGAGGAAGACTTCGACTGACATCGGAAGACGTCGGTAGACAAGGGGGGCGGGGGCTGTAACAGTCTATTGAACCTCTATTTGCATTACAACATTTTAAAGAACAGTAAAACCTTTTGTAAACCATTTTTAGAACCTCCATTTCTCTATGAACAGGTGAATCAGGATTTACATGGTAATAAAAGTCAGATCTGACCTACGCTTATACCCTGCAAATAGTTCGTTCACGAGTCATAATTCCCAGTCGGGGAATTTCGGGATTGCCTCCCGAGCGAGACAGAAATGGTTGGGCGCGTTTCCTGTCACCTACTACGTCTGTTCACCTAGCAGTAAATAGGTACCCGGGAGGTGGTCAACTTGTTGTGGGGCTGGATCCTGAGCGGGATCAGTGGCACGACCCTTGGGGAGGGGATGACATATATATATATATATATATATATATATATATATATATATATATATATATATATATATGACATATATATATATGACATATATATATATATGTCGTACCTAGTAGCCAGAACGCACTTCTCAGCCTACTATGCAAGGCCCGATTTGCCTAATAAGCCAAGTTTCATGAATTAATGTTTTTTCGACTACCTAACCTACCTAACCTAACCTAACCTAACTTTTTCGGCGACCTAACCTAACCTAACCTACAAAGATAGGTTAGGTTAGGTTAGGTAGGGTTGGTTAGGTTCGGTCATATATCTACGTTAATTTTAACTCCCCCCCCAAAAAAATTGACCTCATACATAATGAAATGGGTAGCTTTATCATTTCATAAGACAAAAATTAGAGAAAATATATTAATTCAGGAAAACTTGGCTTATTAGGCAAATCGGCCCTTGCATAGTAGGCTGAGAAGTGCGTTCTGGCTACTAGGTACGACATATATATATATATATATATATATATATATATATATATATATATATATATATATATATATATAAAACAGAATACTCCTCACCCCAAAAGGATATCTACCTGTCTGTGTTCCTTTTGGAACACAGCCGAGGGCTCCATACACCTTAGCGTGTCCAGTACTTTCACGACCAGGGAGTGGTGGAGGGAGGCGGTTGTGGTGAAGGGAGGAGGTTGTGGTGGACGGAGGTTATAGTGGAGGGAGGTGGTTGTGGTAGAGGGAGGAGGTTGTGATGGAGGGAGGAGTTTGTGGTGGAGGGACGAGATTGTGATGGAGAGAGGCGGTTGTGGTGGAGGGAGGAGTTTGTGGTGGAGGGACGAGGTTGTGATAGAGGGAGGAGGTTGTGGTGGAGGGAGGAGGTTGTGATGGAGGGAGGAGGTTGTGGTGGAGGGAGGAGTTTGTGGTGGAGGGACGAGATTGTGATGGAGGGAGGCGGTTGTGGTGGAGGGACGAGGTTGTGGTGGAGGGAGGCGGTTATGGTGGAGGGAGGAGGTTGTGGTGGAGGGACGAGGTTGTGATGGAGGGAGGAGGTTGTGATGGAGGGAGGAGGTTGTGGTGGAGGGAGGAGGTTGTGGTGGAGAGAGGAGGTTGTGGTGGAGGGAGGAGTTTGTGGTGGAGGGACGAGATTGTGATGGAGGGAGGCGGTTATGGTGGAGGGAGGAGGTTGTGGTGGAGGGAGGAGGTTGTGGTGGAGGGAGGAGGTTGTGGTGAAGGGAGGAGGTTGTGGTGGAGGGACGAGGTTGTGGTGGAGGGAGGAGATTGTGGTGGAGGGAGGAGATTGTGGTGGAGGGAGGAGGTTGTGGTGAAGGGAGGAGGTTGTGGTGGAGGGAGGAGGTTGTGGTCCTGGGACGAGGCTGTGGTGGAGGGAGGAGGTTGTGGTGGAGGGAGGAGGTTGTGGTGGAGGGAGGAGGTTGTGGTGGAGGAACGAGGTTGTGGTGCAGGGACGAGGTTGTGGTGGAGGGACGAGGTTGTGGTGGAGGGACGAGGTTGTGGTGGAGGGACGAGGTTGTGGTGAAGGGAGGAGGTTGTGGTGGAGGGACGAGGTTGTGGTGGAGGGACGAGGTTGTGGTGCAGGGACGAGGTTGTGGTGGAGGGACGAGGTTGTGGTGGAGGGACGAGGTTGTGGTGGAGGGACGAGGTTGTGATGCAGGGACGGTTTAAATCAAACTTTTGTGACTAGTTGAATATGAAAAGTGCTTCATCTGGTCCGAGTCTCAGGATCGTAGCATAAATAGATAGGGAGAAAAAAATATTCAATTATGTGTTTACAATTTTCCAAAACCTTCAAAAATTAACATCA